TGATGAATGCTGATGTTCATAATATCGTAATGAAATTAATGGATCTGCAAGTGTTCAGCACCTTTGAAACCTCTCACCTACTTACACCTCTTTCCAAGACCGTGTGAATCAAATGCAGGGCAGGAAGGGTTATAGACCTAGCAAAGTCCAAATTTAAACTTCAAGACAATTAGAGACAACTAATCCTGTGATAAAAAGGAGCTTGTCCATCAAAAGCTACACCATGAGGCACTAGGGTCAAGTCTAGACACAAACTTGAATATACCTTTGTACTACGTGATAAAAAACACCCACGTTCTAGCTTTTGGTGCTAATTCAATACTTTTTAAAGGCACTCAATTAATTTAAAACATAAGGGAAAAAAAAAGACACATTTAGTAAAGTGATTAGTTCAGACTCCAAGAGCAGACAAAAGAGAGTAGAGAGAAGAGTCTGGAGACTGAGGTATAAAATTACAGATAAGTACCAAATACACTCAGCAATTTCTTAGCAGAGAACGTAATAAGGATTTTAAACAGATGACATTTGCATTTGCAGTAGTCAGACTGACAGAACAGATGTGCTAAAACCCATTTAAAAAAGCCCAAATCTGAAAGCCTTGTCAAGGTTTGTTAGGGACACGATTTGCACGTCTGCAAAATGAGCTCAACAATGTGTCTCTCTGAGAAACAGAAGTGCATTTTGAGAAAGAAAATTAAACACATTCACATTGTAAAAAAGTGAGGGAGTTTATATAGTCTACTTCATAATTACCTGCATTTTGAAAGTGAGTAGAAAAAGGCATATAAAAATAGTAAATGGTTATTTTAAAATTACTCTTTTCATGGCCCTCCGATTCTACTTTCAGTAAATGTCAGGGAAGTAGGGAGCCTCACTTAAGACAGCTGTCCCAAAAGGACTGTGTAATACCTTTGCTCAATTTGGACAAACTAAAAGTAATTGAGGCTCAAAGGGGCTTTCAAGTAGGTCTAAGTTTAATAGAAAAGGGAGAACCAGTGAAAAGAAATCCCAGAACTTTCTGCCTAACTGTGGCTTCTCTGCCAGCAGACCAAGTTTGCTGGCTTTCTGATAATACTGGAAAGCTCCAATGTTTCCAGTCTGAGGCATGAGACAGTCTCAAATGAACAGCAGCAGACACCCACAATTAATTTTATGCTCCTACCTCAGAACACAAACAAAAACAAACTGGGAGGCAAACCCAGCCTTTCCTCAGAATTATGCTGTTCTTCAAAACAGAAAGGTAGAGTGTTTCAGTCTAGCTCTAAATTTCCCTGTTTTTCTCTTTGTCTAGATTTTGGGTCTACGTGTCTCTTATCAAGCAGCAGTAATAGGAGGCATAAATATAAACTTTGATGAACATCGGAATCACTTCACAAACCAAAAAGGTGAGAGAATATAGTCTGGGCAACAAAAGCAAATTTGGAAAACACTTTAAAAGTCTAAGGACTTTTTAATGGGTATATATTCACATTGCTGATTATTCAAGCAATTACAAAATATGACATTCAGATCTCAGGTTTCTTTAACTCAGATATATTCCAATTGTTTGCTTTTATCATGAAAAGTAAATTTCAGGGGATTAAGTTTCAGAACTTCAAGATAATTAAAGCTGTCTTGCTATTTTTGCAACTACAAACATCACCTTTCAGAAATATAATCTATGCTGAATCTTGAAAGTTGAGATCACTTGAAAAACAACTCACATTTTGATATAATGACACCAAAAAGAAGACTTGCTGATAAAAGACTAAATTGGTCTCTGGATTAAATTCACTTAGCAGCAATTTCTAGAAGTCCTGTATTTAGTTGCAAACTCATGCAGGAATCAGTCTTGTGAATAGTGCCTGCAGACTACTGTATTAGTCCCCAGAGATCATAGACTAGGGCACTAGTCCTTGCTTAGTCCCTACAGACTGTGTACACCCTCCACATTAATCAATACATCCTCACTTTATGTTGTTGCTCTCTAGAACAGTTTAAAAATAAATTCTCAAGAAATATATCTCTATCTATATATCTGTATATTAGATTTCCAGATATTAACTCCTCAGCAGTATTTTCCTGAATAGTCGAACTTACTAAAATTTCTGAGCAAAAAAAAAAGTATAAAAGAAGCCTTCTGTATTTCAGTTTTTCACAGTCTAATGGATTTGCCTTTTTTGCTTTATATTCTATGCATTTTGCTATTGATCTTCATAATAGACCAAAAATGTTGCCAGGTGGCTGGGGAGAGTGGCTCTGAAATACAAAGAGTTGCATATCAAAAGCCAGCACTAGAACATCAGTACTAATTTTTAAAGTTAATTTCTATTGCTCATGCCTGCAGAGAGTCTTCAAAAAGAGGAAAAATGTGATATTTCTCTCTTCACAGACACAGAGTGTCAAGAATGCTCCATTCTTTTAAAAAAGTGAGTTTTAATATAGAGAGTGCTTTGGCTGGAGTACTCCTGGAGATCTCTCTCTATAAGGTATTCTGTGCTCAGCAGGATATAAATAAATCCCCACTCTGAAGAAGATACCTCTGCAGTCACTCACGGTTCTCCAGAGGAAGGAAAAGCATTTATTTTCTTCTTGAAGAAAAAAAGCCCCAGAGAGTTTTGTTGGCCTGATTGAGCAAAAGATTCAGAAATCAGCTGGTATATCTTTGGGGTTCCAAAATGATTACATGTCTGTTTTGCTTCCTTTTTCCTTTCATTTTTACTTGCTGGACTTAATTTTATGTGCTTAGAAGTTTGAATGCAAGTTATTAGACACTTAACCGATAACCATTAGCATTCCTTGATTTTGTGGTTTTACTTCTGCAGCAGGTCAGCTGGTCAGCCTATGTAATTCCTGCTTTAATAAAACGTTCACTGGAGTTATTATTAGAGCAGGTGTCACATTCTAGAGACAAAGGTGACATTTGGAATCTACTGGTAAGTCCTTGTACATTTTGTGTAGGAAGCTTCTAGATGATTTTATGGCCCCAGCAATAGAGAAAGGAGATATAGGGGATTCTACTTTTGGTTTATTTTACCTTTTTGATAAATGGAAGGTAGAAATAATTCCTTTTGGCTATTAAAGTAGTTTAAACACTATTTAATTTTAGCTATTCTGGCTCTAGGCTCTGGAGTTGTCTGCAGCCATGTCAAGTTCTGGCAAATTTTGTGCTGAGAACTTTATGGGAATATCTACATGAGAATGTAATAGCTGGTTGCTGTCACAACAGTAAAGTCTACAAGCAAATACTCTGTACTCTTAAGCACAAAGAAAAAACCTTGCATTTCACAGATGAACACTTTCAAATATCCAAAACATTTTCTCTACCTTGCATGGCTTCTTTATCCTGCTGCCATATGGTACAAAGATTTTTCTTGTATCTGGAGACTGGAGTTTCTAACAAGAACTACTAGATAATTTGGTATTTTCTTAATAAGCAGGATAAAGAAACTCTATTATTCTTTAAAATCAAGACATCAAACCAGTTTTATTCCTTGTTAAGTTCACTACAAAAAATGCCCTGGAAAAAGACGTATGACATACATTACTGTATGCTCAGTGACCAGCTGTTTAAAATTTGGGCATTAAGTAATTCACTCTTTGCTGTGTGCAAGAGCTCAATGATTTAATAAAACCCCACATGCCCCAACATGTGCCAGCTATACTGGGTTATCGAAAATCTAGCTGCTGTTATGATAATAGCTTCCAATGCTAAAACTATTGAGGAGAATAATGAATCCACTCCAAGTCAACTAAGACATAAACTGACACAGTTCCACTTAAGATATGTGGGAATACAATACATCTGTTAATTAAAAACTAACACTGATCTACAGTCACATGAAATTTGGTGCCAAGAATTCATGGGCATTGTTTGTGGTGGAAAATTAACGCAAATCACCTGTATGAAAACAAGCAGCCCCATTTTCATCACTTGTCCTAAATGCATAGGAATGTCCTACAAATTACACATTCAGTTTGCAAAACAGATTCTATTGTGTCACAGTCGGTTTTCTTTCCTACATATTATAATTACCATGAAGCTATTAGATGACATGTTTTACATAGCTAGACTTTTCAACTTCTCAATTATCACAATAAATTGATTATGAAGATTATTATGAAAAATTGATTGGTTTGATTTACTAGTATTTTAATGCAAGGTAAGAGTCAAAGGTACAATGTCACTGTCTTTAGTCATTGAACAAGCACACAAGCAAAGGAAGCAGAAAGAGAGAAAGTAGCCAAACAAGTGTCAGAAATGATTCTCCAGACACATGTTTTTTGGACAATCAGTGCAGAAATATCCAACAAAATATGTCACTATTAACTTTTTAAAATCTAAGAAAATACTTCCTTGGATATGAAATTATTACTTATAGTTACAAAAGCTTTGCAGGTAGATGCGACTTTCATTTTGGTGGCAGCATAAGCAAATACATTAATGATACATTCTTTCACTTCTCACAATTAGCTCTGCTGTTAAGGGAAATAATTTTGAAATTAACCTAGAACTCATCAGTCCCTTAAGCAAGATTACAGTGTTACTGTATTGATGTAAAATTGCATAAGATATAGTACATAAAACACTTATTAGAACAAACAAACACAAAAGCAAGCCATTTACATTTGCTGGAGCTGGATCATCTCCAATACACCAAGTGTGCAATGCTCAAAAGCCACATTAAAGACAACTTCAGTAACTCCAACTTCAAGCAATCTCTATATAGTAGTTTATGTATAAAAATAATTTAAGAAAGCATTTTTTAAAAAAATATTAGGAATATATTGACAAATTAAAAGCATGTCATGCAGAGATTTAAGATGCTTATAAAAGCTCAAGCATAGGGGCTAACCACATCAAGGGGATTATAGAAAACTCAAAGACTTTGAAAGCTTAAAGGATCTCATTTTTTTCATACCTTAATTATGAAGTTGCAAATAATTGTGTTTTCAACCACATGTTCTTGACATTGCAACAAACCCAACACTGTCATTTTCTCAATTATTAGTAGACTTACTTTTCTTTAAGGAAATCCACTACTTGTTTGAAGTCTGCCACACAGTATTCTCTTTTCATGTCCATGAGCACACTGTCAGAGGCTGACTGGACTGGTATGTGCAGAAAAGCATATACTCTTGGATGATTGAGAATCTTGGCCATTTCCTATGAGTTATTAAACAAAAAAGAAGCTTTAAAGCATTATGAAAATAATACAGAAAACTCAGATTAATATATGGGGTAAGTATCAGCAATACTTCTAAAACCCCAACTAAATTGCCCCAGCCCAGTTTGAAACAGTGTGGACAGGTGAAAATATTTGAAGGCAACTTTCTTAGGAGAAAATAGGAAGAATGCAATGAAATTGAATTTCCTTTGAGATAGGGATCATATTCCCCATGTATTATTGATTACACAATTACAAGAAAATTAGAAAATTTTACAGGCAAAGTATTATGAAGATTGGTGATTTCAGACAGTGCTGTTTTCAGAAGATAGGTTGCTTTCTTGTTGGAATGAAGTAAATTCTCAGATATCAAAATGAGAATGTCTACAATTGGAGCATCCTTAAAGTTTGCTAGTTGCTAACTAAGGTACCCCTCATCACTTGCAAACATGCTCCAATACTGGTCTGAAATGTTACCTGTGTTACTTCAGAGAAAAGAACTGAAATTAAGAGTGCTTGGCTATAATATGAATAGAATTATTAATGGGGCAGCTTAAAACTGGAGTGATGGCTTGGAAAGAGACAGAGGATGTGATACATTTTGTGCAAATGCAAAAAGTCATAGGAAAAAAAAAAAGTAAAGGTAATAGCAAAATGCAAAACCAAACCTCCTAATGAAAGCCAAACTAACCCCCCAACAGAGGCTCGGCAAGGTGAAGGAATGTGAGACAGAGAACAGAATATGATGGTGGTCCAATTTCTCTCATTTTTATTATCTAACCAATTAAGGACATAAAGTCAAGCAACAAAGTTTAAGTATTTTTTAAAGTTGAAACCAACCAGCATTGAGACTGCGTGCAATATGGTACCATACTGCTTGTTAATCTTTGTCTTGCAACAAATAAGTGAACTTGGACAAAGAACCATATTCCATGAACAACCAGGTCTTCACATATGGTTTTCCCTTTCTCCCTGAGCTGTGGCCATTCAGGAAATGGCCTGCGACTGAGCACTACTCTTCTGCCAGTTCATTCTGTGTGCTCCAGTCAGGCTCACTCAGGCCATCTCTCCTGTTTTTTCTGATGGCACATATACTCTATCTGACAACATATACTGCTGCCATATTTACTTTTTAAGATGGAACTATTTACAAATTCTTCCAGACCATTAATCAGCAATATTAGTCACGCATCTAGATTTTCTCTGTGTAGTTCTACAAGGCTGGCCTAGATTGTTCAAGGAGAAGGCAGACATCCTCCTGCCTTTTCATTTGCAGGAACTCAGCTTTTAAAAGCACTGATTTTTAGAACAAGAAGAGAAAATGCTCTCTTGATACTCACTTTTCATCTGACAAGCAGGTGTGTACCAAACCTGAAACTCTATCAAATCGCTTCTGGAAGCAGTCTTGAAAGTTTCTAAGATCCTATTGCATAAATGTCTAAGAGAAGTGGTTACATTATTCAAGGCAACAGCTATTCCATCTCAGGTATGTAAAACTCCATTTGATACACAGAATTGAATACAATTTGATACGCAGAAAGGCTGGGTGCACTGAACCTGGCTCTCAGTGGAAGCTGGAGATAGCTTGTTTCATGAAAAAACAGTGAAGAAAAGGCCACCAAACATCCACACCAATTTTGTATCCAATTCAAATGGAACTATACATATCTGTGTCCTTACCAATTGAAGATGTTCAGCTAGAATATATTTTCAAAAATGAAATCATATGGAACAAGTACATAAAACCTTACTTTTTTAAGCGTTAGAGAATCTTGCAAATGTATTTTATATTAAGCATCCTTGTAGTCATCTGTGATTTTTCTACTTATCAGTAATCAAATATGTTTCTAAAATATGGGAAATAAGAGCTAAAAATTAAGCTATGGATCACAAGCCTATTATTCTGCTTATCTCTTGGTTCCAAGTACTTTATTCAATTTTCAAAAACATATTTATGATATAAGGAACCAATTAAAGTCATGTTTCATAACATGTTTCTAAATCTGCCAAGTTCTTAAAAATAACTACCCTATGACATAGGTAAAAAATTCTTTGCCACTCCACTCAAATTTTGCATCTTCTGAATAACAGACATTTCAATATGAGATCAGTTTGTGAGTTCTTTTTAAAAGTAATAAATAGTTTATTAGAATTTCTAGATATAAAACTGTTATTTTATTCCAGCTTTTGTAAAGCTGAGAATCATCTGATAGAACAAAAATCCAGATTCACTGTGTCTGTTTGCAATAGAAATATTAGATTTTAAAAAACCTTACCTTGTTTTACCACAAAGTTTTGACTTTTGAATACACAAATGTGAAAAATCTCTAGTTATATGAAAATGTTTGTTTTATTTCTCATATTCACCTTAAACAATGAAAATGTTATGGTGAAGTATGAAAATGAAAACCAAACTCTTAAATCCAAAAGGTGGTTTCTTACTCAGAAGATTCAGAAAAACCAAAGCACCCAACCAACCCCAAAGCCACTAGCTGCTGATCTGACAGTAACATGCAGAATACTGCTGGTCTCACAGTTGATCTCTTTCAGGGCAATGTGGCCAAGAGGGAGCTTTGGACTGCACTTCCTGTAAGAAGAACTAAAGCAATGGTGTCCAACAGCCACTGTTAAACAAGACTAATCAGAATTGCTTCTTCCAGTTATCCCCCATGTAAAAGAAAGAAAACATATGTTTTCTACAATCACTGTTGTCAATAACTTTCAAGATTAAGAACACAACTGTTGTCATTTAAAGTAATTACCCTAGGTTTGTACCAAAGGGATGCAAAATGCCTGGCATTAATTAACTGAACTTTTCAACTATCACTACAGGTCCCTGCATACAGTAAAAGCTACAGCTGTAAGCTCAAACACATTATCAACTATTCCACTGCATCATTTTGGTTCAGAAAGATACTCCATATCAAAAGAACTGGCATTTTGTAGAAATTAAATTGCTTGTCATGTGTATCAGGAATTCATATACAATACACACACAGTCTGTCTGGGAACACTAACACAGCCTAGCTGCTGTGGTCATGGGATTCAGGAATGTTCTGGACAGTCAAAGCTCCTCCTAGAGATGAGGAGGTTGCAAACAGCTCTTTATACTATGAACTCCTTTCTTTGCTTGCTTTCTGTATCGAAAGCTACATAAAATTCACTGCATGTGCTTAGACTCAAAGGTCCTCCTGATAAACTGATTTCCCATCAGGTACTTGAGGATTGTAATGATTAACTTTGTGAATTTAGCACAACACAAATTACTAACACACCAAATGCAAGTCAGAAATACCTGATGACCCACTGTTTCATTGTCATTCCCTTTTAAGTACTGCTGGTGGTCTTAAATTTACCTTTTATAACCAGAAACTCTGAATGAGCTGTTTAGAAGGAAACAGAATAATGAATTAAACAAAATCTTTGGATGATTGCATCAGAAATCTGGATAAATCAATCTTCCAAACTTTGCACTGTTCAGATAGAAATACCACATTCTAACCTGTAGCTTTAAGGTAAGACTGTTCCAGTCTTATCTTTCATCCTCCCTACCACCAAAATAACACTGAAGTTCTTTGCCACATAGGTTTGATTAAATTACAACTACTCTGCATCATACTTAGTCAATGCTGACAGATTTTCCCATACTACAGATTGCACAAAGAACACCAGATTTCATCACTGAATAAAACTGTTGGTATCCCAAAGAGTATTTGAAGGACATCATAGGCTAATGCATATTTTAACTTCATAATCTCTTAACATTCTAAGCTTAACATCTGTTTCCTGTTGGCTTTATATAATTATATATATTTTTTTTTCTGAAGTGCTCTGCATTACTAGGTGTAATTACATATTTCAGTTAGAAGAAAAACAATCTAGAATTTTATTTCCAGCTGGAAACAATAAATGAACAACATTCTGAAACTATATCACTGTGAAAGAAACTTTCTGTCTTTCATCATGACTCAAACAGCTGATTGCCTTTTCTCACTATTCCCTGGAATCTGATATGTGTCTATGAATGAAGGGATGCACTACACAAAAATGAAATATCATGTAGGAACAAAAAGGTCAAAAAGTAGCACAATTTGTTTTAACCCGACTCTACAAAAATAGGCGTCATCTACATTTGGAAAATAACAAAATATGTGAAACATCCTTTAGGATACTGATGACATATGAAATATTTTTTCACAGTCCTTAGCAGCTGGAGTACATTAGAATACAAAGCACATTATCAAAATGATTTATATCTCGTCAATGTATTTTATCCTAGCAATTTCAATATACAAATTTAACCACCTAACCAGAAAATCACACCTCTTGTTTGCAATGACACCATGTGCAACCACAGAAAATTGCAGAGACAATAAACATCAATATCTGTGCATCTTTATGTCAGTCCCAGCAAGCTGCTCGGACAGCAATTCTTTCCCCTTACATAAAGCAGGCAAAAATCCAAGTATTTGAATTCTGTCTTGTATTTGAGTCCCAATAATGTGAATAGCTTGCTTGTTAGCAAAAGGATTTTGTCCTCTGCCAGCAGAGAAGCCCAAAGAAATCCTCATCCATATGGAAACATGACAAAATGGCACTCCCTCAAAACTTCACCTCTCTGTGGCAGATACTACTTTGGGGTACGTCACAAGGGGTGTCTGCTGACTGTTGTCTTTCAGAAGCTGAGCAGTGCTACCACCAGCACAGTCTGCATGAAAAGTGGCTGTGGCCCATTTTATAAACTCCTCCGCTGCAGTTCAGCTCAGGAACAGACATAATCTTGTGATACAGGCATGGGAATGATGACACAGTTATGATCCAGTCTAGAAAGCCCAGAGCAGTTTTGTTAAAATGACTGAACAGGGAACTCTCCCTGCATTTCCCACCACCTGTGAGTAATGGGGCTTTAAAAAACTACAACTAAGAACGTGTGCGATGTCCCTGAGGACACTGGTTGGAAGGCAATGCCTCTCCCCCATCTGTGTATGAAACAGGGGAG